AACTGAGAAATTTGCAAAAAACTATATCAGAAAGACGGCAACAATGTTTTTCAAGGTAATCTGTCTAATTAACATTACGTAAACACCTGTTGCTTCGTAATTATGAAAATTGTGGTAACCATGGAATTGTACAGAAATTGACAATAAAATAGACAAGGATTAACGGTATATTCGACAGGATTTGTTAAATGTCGGAACGTAGTTTTTCGAAATGTCAGTTACTGTCCTTATAACCTCGAATTGATGTTTAAAAATAACTAATAAACTTGCAAGTTAATGTCTAACATTGTTAAGTGGCAAGAAAACAGACAAGTGTACAAAATCGTGAGTAAATGATTAGTGCATGAACCAAACAAATTAGCTGATTCCATCCACCAAATAAAAAGTTCTGGTATTTTTTGTACCACGACACTCAAGAATTCACCACTTGTCCAAAACGGCTGATCTCGAGTGTTTCATCAAAATCACAGACAATTTGCACAGACGAATTATCAGAGCGAATTTTCATATACTGTATTATCCTACTATTGTTACACAATTTATTAACATACTCTTTTTTAGGTTCATTTAGGTTCTTTTGATAACGATAGCAGAAAATAGCTATCGAAACGTCAAGGTAATTTTTCAAATTAATTTCTCTACTAATTGGAATTTTCTCTTACAGCTTGAGCCTAAGTGTATCGCAGGATACCCTCTAGGTGATTTTTGATAAATAATTCGTTCTTATTGCGAAATAGGAGCACTATTTATCAATCTGTAATAAAAGACGTGAGGAAATTCCCTTTTTTTAAAGACAAAGATTTTTGAGGCGAAATACCCAAAAAGTTTGTAAAACAACAACTAATATTGTATGTAAGATACACGGTACACAAGGACACATTAAATATCTGGTCTTGCGAACACCGGCACAAATTGAGCAGGAGTTAATAGCCGAATACGAGAAGCTGCTCAAAACGTGAGTCCAGTAATGCTGCAAAGAGTGAACAATAACGTGATTACATGGGCACAACCATGTTTGGAGTTGAACGGGCAGAACTTCGAACATCTCTTGTAACTCGCAAGTCCACGTTTCAAAACGGTTCTTTTCAAAGCCACATATTCATATCTAAGAATTTTTGTAAGAGGTATTATTGACTTCCGTTGAGCCTGCGCACTTGAACTTTTGATATTTAAGACGCAACAGGTACTTAGGGTAGAGGCAAATTACCTTGAAAAGCATTGTTGCCGATCTTCTGATCTAGTTGTTTGCAAATGACTCCGTTTTTGATGAGAATATATTTTTTAAATTATTTTTCCTGTACTCCTTAAACCTCCCCAGAGGAAAGACCCCAATTTTCAATCACCCTGTATTTTATTGCGATGTCCTCATCCTCAGTTTATGCAAAGTGTAGGCAAGCTCTCAGTGTATAAGCAACCAATTATCGACTTCCTATCAAGCAGAGGAAGATAGAGAGGAAACAGATAATTGAAACCACTTAAATGTAAAAGTTCAACATAGTTTAACCTGCATGGGTTTAAACTTTGAAACATCCTAAAATTTTGTACTCTGGCCGTGAATTAGGTATCAAAGGCCAAAACCCACGAAATTCAAAAGGTAATAATCGATTCGATTTGGAGGCCCATCTGGTGGTCCCCCTCGGCTTCTATAGCTGTCCTTTACCTCCCGATAGTTTTGGAGAAGAGGAGAATGAAACGGAGATCTGAGTGACACCACATGGGGGAATGGCACGGCTTGCGCGCACGCTCTGAAAGCCCCCAAACAAAAATGTTTCTATTTAAAATCATCGCACGACATCGACTACAGTTTCATAAAATCGCGCATAGCAATTTCGAACTCCGAGTGTTCACGTAGCCCTCATACCGTTGTTCTACACGTTTCTACTTTAGCCGGTTCATTTAATTGAAAAGTGCGCTTTTTGCTAGTGATCTAGTGTTTGGGGGATTATTTGCGAAAAAGAAGATTCGAAAAAATGGCCGAAACCAGACGAGACATCCCCATCAAATTGGGAGATTTTAGCGTGATCGACACCGAATTTTCCAGCATCAGGGAAAGATTCGACGCGGAAATGAGGAAGATGGAAGAAGAAATGTCCAAGTTCCGGTCGGAATTAATGAACAGGGAAAGCAACAACTTCTTCAGGAGCACAACCAGGTAGGCAATATTTTTTTCACATTTGCTATCACTTGAGAATTTGGTTGAGAAGTTCCAAGTCCATTGCTGAAGATCTTGAAATTATCATTGGAGATTTTGATAAAAAAAATTGATATTCTGCACTCAGAATTAGTACAGTCAATCAAATCATCTTCAGCTTTGCTCATGAAACTTTACCTAGAATGCGTTATTTCCTTGACGCTCCTGTATATTCTGGGCTAATCAAGGAAAACATTCTCTTTGTCAAGTAACCAATTGTTATATAATAGAAAATATTAAAATTTTGGAATACCTAGTTTGATAGCAACATTCGAGCTAATGCGTTTAGAGCACTTGGAAAGGCCTTAATTTATGTCTAAGGTTTTCGATACAAACACAGACAGCAGACGACTTTAACGAATCAATACGAAATTTACATATATACCGAGAACTGACACAGTTTAGCCTGCTAAATCCAGTTAAATCAATAAAAAAAGGCTTTTAACTGCTATCTAGGACTGCATTAGAATGCCTCTAACTGCTGGTTTATTGCTTAATCATCTCCCAGAAAATTCCACAAAGGAAAAGCAATTTATTTGAGCAGTTTTAGATGTATCAAGCTGACTCATTTTGAATATTTTTGGTTGCAATTTTTTTATACTAAAGGCGAGTTGGTTCAACTTTTATGATCGTGCACTCAAACGTAATGATTTTGAGTCTGGCCTTGCTCCAAATTGATTATTCAAGGAGTCTCTAAGTCGGGGTAATTGTCCAACCCCTATAAAATAGAGTAAACAGCGTAAATGGAAAATTCACCTTAAGAATTTATAGAAGCAAGTTTCAGAAATAGAATAATGGCTGAAGAAAGTGTATATTTTTAATACAACAACATTTTAAATCAGAAAAAGCCAAACAAGCAATTAGTAAGTGAAAGGGAACAAATGATGAAAACTAAATTCCATTTGCAAAATAGTGTTTAATTAAATGAAATCCCAATTGGTTCTTCTTTGATAGGAAACGAGGGGGTTCGGGAAAATGAAGCAACATTTGCAATTAAAAAAAAAAAGAAAATCGGGTTAAAGATCTAATTTGAAGCACTTTATTTTCTCATTGGAAGCAAGTCTGTTCAAATTTTATGAGAAATGCATTTTTATTTTAATTATGAAATAACAACAGGAAAGGGGACTTTGAATTTATATTTATTTTTCACTCACTGTGTATATTTGAAATGTAGAAAAAATATAATTTTAATGGTTTGGTTTCAACTTTACAGCCTTCAATAACATTTGAAATTTAGGCTTCAATTTTTTAAGCAATCATTAAAAAAATATGAATTAGTATGGGTTTTCTGTAAATTTTATTTTTGTATCAGAAGGATCAAACAAGCAACTGAAAAACGGAAACATTTGTTTGTCCTGCTCAATCAAATAAATTGCAAACTTGGATCGATTATTAGGAACGAATCAGTTTACAAACCTTCATCAGTTCATCAAATATACAGGGTGATCACAAATATACCGAAACACTTCTACGGTCAATAAGGAGCCATTTTTTGCTTTCCATGCAACCCGTTTTCAAGATACAGTGTGTTGAAATTAGAAATGTTCAAGTTCAACTTTATAATAATTAATAACAATAAGAGAACCGTCTGCTTCGTGCATAACTTTTATTGACTGCAGCTAGATTTTAGAAAACAGTTTATTTACTACATAATAATCTCATCTATGGATCAATGTTTCTATATCATAAACCAATGAATATTCTCAGATTAACAAAAAAAATGCCTATTTATTTGTTATAGTCAACAAACAAAGTAATTGATGCAAAACCTGCCTAATTTGTTTCGAAAAAAACTGAAAATTTCATTAAAATCGACTCATGAGTTTTTCACGTATGATTTTTAAATAGCTTTTAATATGGAAAGTGGAAGTAGCATATTTTCAAACTGGCAAAACTGCTTGAATTTTTAAATAATAATACGATAATAATAAATAAGAAAATATTAAACACAGTTTTTTTGTGAGTTTTCTTTGATTGAAGCCATGAAATTGAAAAAAGGTGCTGTTTTTTTAAAAACTAACTTTTTAAATTTCTAACTCGCACTTTTTTCAAATATGTATATTAACTACAAAGAAGGCATCAATCATATCTGTAATATGATTATCTGAATCCAAGTCATCATTTTCGTAATTTTTATACTGCTTTCACATATTTTCAAAACATTTTTTTTGCAAAATGGAATACCCTGTACAAAGCACTTTATTTTTAGACATGTTATTATAGAGCAAAAATGCTTGCTTAAAAAGCCCTTGCGACCTCTAAAAATGTATTAGTATATTTATGAAACACTCTGTCATTTTAATGTAATTTCGATAAATTCTCAAGAGACATATTTGTCCTGCGTTCCCATTGATGGAGCCGTGCATTAAATAATTTGGGTGTTTATGAGAGATTTGCGAAATAACATCGAACTTAAGAACCTTTTTATCTGATAATAGTTGCTAAACCGAAACGGATGGTTTGAGTGAAATTTGCGTTTCTAGAGACTGAAAGTCGAGACAATGAAAACAAATTTAAACAACCGAAACAGTAAAAAAGAAATCGAGTAATAACTGGAAACATTATAGCGCATTATCAATTCCCTGTAAAATTGCAAACAAACAATTTTCTTATTTCAACTCCGGGATAAGCTGCCAGTAGAACTTTAGCTCCCTAGTTGACTTTTGATTTGCCATTCATTTCACCCTCCCTATTTACCCAATTAAAACTGAGGAGGGTTGGTCATATACAGTTGGCTTTAAAATTTATAGGGGGATGAGATAGCAATAATCGTAAATCTCTGGATTAGTAAAGTTTTACTGTGCACCACACCCTAATCAAACTTGAAACGAAGTTCTCTTCCTTGAAAAAGCCAGAAACATTGCGTTGATTACTTCAGCTAGCTTTCGTACTCTTGAAACTATTAGAAACAATTTAAAAAACATCTTTATTCGATTGAATTCCTGTTGCTGAGAGTGATTGGTGGTAATGTGTGTTTGATGGCTTATTAAAACGACCTGACATTCCAAAGCAACTACATACTTAGATAAAACGGTTATTAAAAGGAATGACACTGTCGACTATCTTAATTTAGTGCAAGTTTAAATAAACATGTTGCAGTCGAATAAATAAAAACCATGCGTAATTAGCTCATTAGTGCTTCAGCTGTACAGTTCAACTTGCGATTAATTGCTTTTTAATTCAACATAACTGGGGACGCCCTCTCATCATTTTTGCAAATATGCTTCGAGTCTTTCGAATATTTCATCTGCAACATTACTGGTTGTAAATTCATCTTCACTGCTTCTGAAGAACTATGCAAATCCCAGTTCAACGTACTCTTACATCACGACGTGTTAAATATGGCCTGTCTGGGACGTTCTATTTTTGGTCTTGTCGAGTGTTGAAAACATGTCTTTGCAGATGTGTTAGAGAGGAAATGGATTTTTCAACAGCCTGTGGTACAGGGTTTAATTAAACGTGAAAATAAACCCCCCTAGAAAGCAGCAAACGTGAATGTATACAGTGGTAAATATTATTCCGAGTTCCCTAGCTTCCTTCTGTACCCAAAATTAGTACTAACTAGATAAACAATACAACCGCGTAGAAAATTGAATACAATGGCGCAATTAACTTTTTTTAGATCCATCTGAGCCTGACGAGGAAAATGGTTTTGCTCATTGTTGTCTGTAATCAGTGAAAATGAATCGAAATAATGCCCCTTTATTGTATGTATGTACTTGCATTGTTTGCGTCATTTTGTTATTGTTTTGGATTCAAAGAGGAGAGGACTCATGGAGAGACCTTTTTTAGTCCTATGCGGAAAATGCCAAAGTTGCACATTTTTTCCGCTTAACATCTGCGTATTTACAACAACATAAACAATTTACATAAAATGTAGGTAGGAGCATCGCGTCGGATTAGATCGCCAAATAAGGCAATTGTTTGTTGTTAAAGCTTGTCAAGGCTACGTCTGGTTTTAGCGATACACAATATCAACCTGTGATTTAAATATTCTATTTAATAGGCTTAAATATACGGGACGAAACTACAAAGTTGTATAGAAACGCATATGTTATTTAGCGAATGATTGATTGCCTGGAAATGGCAAGTGAAACGTTTATTCTTAGAGTTTTGGCTCCTAAATATGCACTTTGAAGTCAAGAATGAAAACTGAAAAAAGTATCTGGGTCAACAAGGTGTAATAATTATGTACATATTAATATATACTACATAGGGCCCTGATAATTCAGGGCCCTATGTTTTATCTCATTTTCACTTTACTGTGTTGCAGATAAGAAACTGTACATATGTGAATATTTCTACGTTTTCGTTTTTACACAAGGTTAATGGAAATTTGTGGTGAAAGTCGGATTTTTTGAAGATGATGGTTTAATGATTCAATTTACATCGATATTTAGAAATACTCCTCAGCTTTATCATTTTTCATAGCCTTTTTCTCCGTAGTTTATTAGTATTTTTGACAAAAATTCTTGCAGTTGACGCCCGAGGCGACGCCGAGGGCCTTCGGCTTCGACTTTGGCCTCGCGTGCCGTATTTCTTTCATTCAAAAAGTCACTGACTTATCAAACGACCCTCGTAGCTCGATGTGAAAACAAAAATAAGAATATCACAGTACAACGTTTAGCGACATTTTCTTCGAGAGTCGAGTACAAGTCGATATTTAAGAGAATTTATCTCAGTTATTTCAATTTTTTCTTTTTTCTTACTCAAAAATACTGGTAAATTGCTACTCCAATTTTGAGAAACGACCCGTAAGGTGAAAAATTCAACCGGAACAAACATTTTTTCTTGTAATTTTAAAGTATCTTTCATGTAACATTAATATTAACCTGCTTACGGGCAAATGACGATTGAAAAAACAATTTATAATAACCCTCTGTATATTTTCAGTCATTTTGGGAAACCTCAAGAGTCTAAAATTGCAATCAATTTTTGAAAATTTTAAAGAAACATCAGTAATTTTGCAGTAGCAACATCCTGTAACTCGACCAGAATGCGCAGGTTAATGAAATTTTAGACAGTAAAATATTTAACTTTAATTAAAATTTGTGAAATATTTAAATTCCTCAAGTTAGTGGATTTTTTAATTTAAATATAATCGTGGTACACAAACTGAATGTTTTCCAAAACGAAAATGGTTCGATTGCGATATATTTTCCACCGTTTCAAGAGCTCAAGATATTCTTTCCTAGTATTGGCGGTTAGCAACGAGTTATTTTATGGAAAATAAACCTTTCGACTCTCAGAAACTCCTATTTTTGGTCATAATGCAAGAGCTGTACCAAGAACTAAGTTCTAATAATAAAAAGTCTAAGCCTAGAAGGCTTCTTATATTGTTTTAAACAAACCAATGATTTGAATAAAGAATCTATAAGTAGATAGTAAGAATTTGTAAACGTTTAAATTTGCTTCAATCGAATTTAAACGAATGCGAACTTATTTTTATATCATCAGTTGATTACAGTAAAATGTATTTTAAAATCTCTCAAGCCTAGCAACTATGCATTAAATATCGATGGCGTAATATGGAGATATTATTTTTCAGTTTAATTGCGTGTAAAGTGTAAAAGTCTCACAAATAATAATAATATATAAACGAACGTATTGGTCAAGGACGAGCATTTTTACACACTCAACATTGTCAATCCTGATATGATCAATGTGAAGCATTATAAACGAAACTTACTATTCAAGTATATATACATTTTTTTTTGGAAAATTGGTTTGCGACACTAGGTTTCCTTTTGTATTTTTTTCCAATTTTACAAATACCTTTTTGAATGTAATTTTTAATTGATTCTTCCTATTTTATATTACTTTTAAATGTTTCACATCTTTCCGTTCTGAAAAATACAAGTTGATATAGATTGTTGAATTAATTAATACCTTGTTTTATTTAATATTTTACTTGTTGTGTGTTACTTTATTCCATTTATTCGTGGGTGCAATTGCATGAAAAATATGAGCGGGTGCTGGTTTTTGTTTGAATTCTTTTTATAGATTTAATTGCTATATCTCAATCTGGAGAACTTTGATATAATAACCTTCCTTGATTCGTGAACAGTTGTGCCCTTATTTTGGTTCCACTTCAATTCCACCAGTTTCCTTTCTTATTGTGACTACAATATCATTTGTTTATTTGAATTTTATAAATTATTGTTGTTTTGATCTACTGTGCATGTTGTAAACTTCTGTAGAAACAACTTTGGATAAAGTGATCGTTTAGTTTGAAATCTTATCTTATGAATGTGTGAATCTATGAATGTGAATGAATGTATCATACGATAAACGTTCTCTATCCAAGCTGCACGGTGGTGCAATAAGAATTTACATCAAATTTTTGCATTGCATGACACATGGTCTGCTATTTAATATTCCACCTTAGCTTTCTGAACTGAATATCAATGAAAGTGATAGTAGTAGCGTTTGAGCAATGTTTTCTCCTTAATACTTCTACAACCTACTCGATTATATCCTACTAGATAACAGTGCCAACACATTGAAAACCCACCGCGAATTCCATCACCAATGCCAAAAGCCGTACGTGTTAATGTGAATCTTCACGCCTTCATGTTTCAGTTAGTTTTTTATGAGTTGAACAAACAGTTGGTACAAAACTGTCCATTTTAAGACACGGTAAACGTAATGGAGGCTGATGTCACTAGCTCGAAATAGAAATCGCAGTTGGAGCAACACGGAAAAAAATTCCTGGCGCGCGTTTCGGTGACTTTAGAATTTGTAACAGAGCGGTATTCACTGGGTTTAGAGCTTTGTATCATTAAAATGCAACTTTGTGCTTAAAGTCGATGCATTCACAAAAATAGATTCACTAGCCTGCAGACATTCGTTCTCCGTTATCTTCTAACAACGTTTGTTTTCTATTTAGTCTGCGATTAGGGAGTTCATTTTGTTGAACTATCCTGTAAATTATCGCCTAGGTATTTGAAGTCACTGACACCGTTATCTAGGATTGCTCTGGAGCGTCGAATAAACAATTAGCACGAGTAATGGCTAAGTACATTCTCATGGGTTCACTTGAAAATACGTCTAATGTTCATAGATTTATCGAGAATTATTTCGTTGGCAACAGGCCATTCTGTTGGGAGCGATGAGAATAACATCATAAAATAAATAGGACTAAATCATGATAATAATGCGTTGGTACATAAGAAAAGGACAACACATACTGTTTCCAAGCTAATTAATCCAGAAATGGGGATGGTCACAAAATAATTAGTTTCGAATTTAAAGAGAAATTTTTGTGTCTATTAATAGTAAATATCTGTATATTTTGAACCTTTGCTCCTGTTTGACTGATTTTCAGGCCCCAGAGCTGTGTAAAAGTTCATGTTTTTGGATAGGGGCACTTGCAAGTATCTTAGATCTTTTGAAAACATGAGGATTGATTTTTTTAGAGAAACCGTTCGATGTTGGAAAATGTTAGCTTCAACTATAAAAACTGTAAATCTAAAAAAATTAAGTAAAATTGTGTAATTTTTTTTAGAAAATGTTTCCAGGGCAGGCATATGGATAATATATACCGAACGACGTAATTTTTTGAACCAACTTGGGGAGAAAGAACGAATAATTGCTTAGGCTGGCTTAGGAGCTTCTATGTATAAAAGTCTTCATCAAAACGACCTTTTTTTATATAAAACAATTTTAACTAGTTTTCATTAATAATCGTCCGGATTAGTGGACATTACTGAGTTTTGAATTTCAGTCGGATGAAGGCTAGAAATAGGACAAAATTTATCGACAAAACTGCTTTTTAAAATCATTAACCACTGATTAACTTCTAAACTATAAAGAGGCGCTTTCAAAATGCAAACCTTTCATGTCACTCAATGACAAATATTTATTTCAGTGGTAAAACTACCACTGATTCGCAAAACCAGGATATTTTTGTATTTTCTAATAACCAAGATATTAGTAGATGCCATGAAACTCCATCATGTTTCCTTCCTTCACTCATTAGTGAAGATTACAGTTTTAGGTAAATGTTTATTATAATCAAAACACCAATGAGTAAGTCAGGCGGGATGTAGACATCAAGAAAACATGATTGTGATAATTGGCTGGAAAAATTCTCTTTACTTTGCTTCAGATTGTAGAACGTTTAAAAAGCACTTTGAAAGATAAAGGAAATCTATAAAAAAGACTTCATGAAAATTCAAATCACGACTTCAAAATTGCTTCTCAAGGTTACTACGAGAATGCAGAATGAAAAAACTCATTAATGTATGTGTTTTAAATAGAATCGCCTATTACAAGTTGGTAATAATGATTTGTGCCCATTTACAAGGTTGATCCTAAATAAGCGTCGCAACGGAAAACTACTGATTGTTAATTAAGAAAGGAACACTTTTATTCTATCCATTTTTCTCTGTGTGCTTTAGTTCTCAAGTACAGGATTTATTTTCCAATACGTTAGAAACTGTTTGAACTATACGAATGAGCTTTTTACACATTTCATGACTTCTTATTTTTTTTCCGTACAATGCTCGAATTTATTACGCTCAATAAATGTTGTTTATGCTTCTTACGAAGAAAACCAAACAATTTGCTAACGATACCTTAAAATCTTCAGCACTGGCACGTTCAATGAATTCGAGTATTGTGCGAAAAACTAGCTGTTAATAGTCGTAAAGTGTGTATAAAAGCTTAGGATTCATTGATCATTTGAGTTGAGCGCGAAAAAGTAGCAATTTTAGCTTAAAATGGTTATGATGTGCGTACAACCTATTCGCAAAAAACCCAGAAGAAATTATATTTTTGGTTTGTAGCTGGAAAATGAAATCACAGAGAGAAAAATGGAAGAAGAGAAAAGTATTTCTATCGCCGGTTTTGCCATGAGGAATCTAGTTTCCAGTTGCGACACTTATTTAGGACCACCCTGTATAAACGGTGTGCACTAAGTCATTTCACAAGTCCCGGGTAAATGTTATTGATTGCGAAAAAGTTTTAACACATGATTATTCTTTCATCAAAAAAATAATATTAGTAGATATGTCTTATAATCGATATTATTTTTATTTAAAGACCCTCGAAAAAATATTAAAACTTAAATAAAAATACGAAAAACCCTTTTACTTTGGTTTCGGAGTATTTTGCCTAATAAACGTTTAGCACACCGCCTATTTTTTACGCTTAGTAAAATATCGATAAAAATTAGCAAAAGTTATGAATTTTGAACAGCTTCTACAAAACTTTATCAAGAATTACTAGTTTGCATTTTTATTTTTCACTTTTACTCAATTCCTATGAAAACGCAAATTTCACAGTACAATTTCAGCTCAATTAGTCTGTTCTTTGATGCTTGTATCCTCAACCATCAGCTGCTCTTGTTTCGCAGGTGTTTTTTCATATTTAATTTGACTCATCTGTTCCAACCGTGAACGCAACATTGCATCGAAAATCAAGGATAACTCAAGTACCAACTCAATAATTATTCTATTAGTTTGTAACATAATAAATTTTCACATTTGATGAGGTAATATTTAGCCGCAAAACCAAGTGCTCTTCGACAAGACCATAAATTTAGCTCGTTCAAATATGGGTATGTCATAAGTTAATCATCGGTCCGAGAATAATGGACGCTTTCACATTAATACTTAGCAATTGCTGCAAAATAATGTTTACTGAAGTTTTGCTCAATATTCCATATTAACCATTCTGTTCTTTTCTAGGTAAGCTTAATAATATTAACCAAAACCTTAAAGACAGAGTGCTAACTTTTCTAAATGCTTGTCCAGTTACGGCGTGCAGTTCTTCAGCTTCTAGCTTACATAACCAATCTAACCTAATGCTTTTTCCCTTGCATGTCTTACGAATCGGAGGTAATTAAGGAAGGCAAGAAAGAAAAATTGTCTTCGAGCAAGTCATCTTCCAGGTAATTTTTCAAAGACAGTCTACAAATATATGGGAATTTGACAAGCAAAAATGTATAAAAAAAAATTGTTTGGTCTCCAGGTACCTATACGAAAATAGACCTTTGTAAAAAAGTCCTCTTAGAAATGTATATTGCAATGAAATAACCATAACAGCCAACATCATTTTTATGCCATGCATTGGCTCCATATTAAGCTTGGAACTAACGGAAAAAGAATTATATTTTCAATGAAACTTTGCCCTCAGTTGATGATTCAATTTAAATAAAAAAGTAATCAATCTTAAATGACGTTCAACAAAAAGAAAAAGGAAAACTGAAAAAAAAAACACTCGAAAATGAAAGTCCAAATTGGAGATGCAAGTTTTCCTCCATATTAAACATGAAACTAACAAAAAGTAATACATTTTCACTGAAATATGGTCCTTAATTGATGATTCAATTAAAAAAAATCTAAGTCAAATTGCTTGAAAGAAAAGAAAAAAATTACTGAAGAAACTCTGAAAAATGAACACAAGTCCAAATTGCAGAAGCAGGTTTTCCTCTACAACAAGCTTGAAACTATCAAAAAACAATATAATTTTCAATAACACCTCACCCTCCTCATTGATGATTCAATTGAACAAAAAATATTTTCAAGTAAATTTACTTTTGTGTTTTACGTAATTACATAAGAAAGTTAGGAGAATGATGTTGGCTTAAGCGAACATCATTTTCTCACACTGTAGATATGTTCTTGCCGGGAAAAATGTGCTTTCAAATAATAAGCCGCAAATATCCGTAACGCACTGTCTAGGGGAGCTCATCCTTGAAAACCAATTAGGGTTGAAATTCTCAGTTAATCATGATCATAATTCATTTTCCCCTCCAATCACCTCGTCCTATAGAAAAGTTCAACGGAGCTGAATCCGGTCGAGGCACCGGATAGTCAATGCAGCAGACCCTCTTTTACGCTTCTCTGTATTGTGCTGCGAATGATGGATTTAAATAATCCCTAAATACTTGCCGAAAATGTTTTGCTAAATTGAAGGAAATTAATTTTATCAACGAAATTATGTTTGGAAGGAGGCCTCTTTAGACAGGAGCCTAAAACTGCTTTTAAATCAATTTATAGCAGCGGACACCAGAAGACTTATTTAATGACAATGAAACTATCGCAAACAACTGGCAGATTTAACTATTCAAATTTTCATTAAGGTCTCTTTTAGTATAAAGGCTTTCTTAGCAACTTAGAAAAACCAGGCAAAGCAAACAATATATCAATATATGCAAGGCGGTTAACAATGGAAAATCTCGTTTCAATAATCACATAATGTTGCCATTTAGTCACATATTTACTCGGTTATTACGCCAAACTAACAAACGAGGATCTTGGCACAAACATTAACTATTTTTATTTGACATTAACAATATTTCCACGTAATACTTTCGGATTTGGTTTTGTTTGCTTTACCTCGTTTGGTAGCGCGTGATGTACCAATCGCCGTCATTTCCAATTTGTTCTGATGCGACGGTTCAATCATCAATTCAATTACGATTGGAAGTAATTAGACTTTGCTTTAATGATGGACCTTCAGTAAAAATAAACATGCCACTATTTATTTAATATCGCACAAGCAAAATAATCTGAAAGTTAGAAAATGATTACAAAAATACTCCTTACCTATTTGGATGTCTGAGACATTCAAGCACTCTTCACTGAACATTTTGGAATTGCCTTGTTTGAACATTTTGCCTTAAATTTGCATTGTTTTTTCAGCACAACGAGCCAGTCTTCCAACACAAGTTCAGACCTCGCGCATCGGGCTGGTCCACCAGCAGAATTACGCACTTGGTACGACGACCTCAATTCTCCCCTGATCCAGAGCGATGGAAGCGACAAAAGCCTCAAACTGAGATTCGACGTCAGCCAGTACGCTCCCGAAGAAATTGTCGTTAAAACCGTTGACAACAAATTATTGGTAAGTGTCGCGCCCATTTCCGTAAAGCACTGGCTCTAAGTTGATGTTCTTCCTTTAGGTCCACGCTAAACATGAAGAGAAAACAGAATCCAAATCCGTTTACAGGGAGTACAATCGTGAATTCCTGTTACCCAAAGGAACCAACCCCGAGCTCATTAAGTCCTCTTTGAGCAAAGACGGCGTACTAACCGTGGAGGCTCCTCTGCCAGCCATTGCTTCAGGAGAAAAGTTGATTCCCATCCAACACTAAAATTTGTTAATTGTTTTCCGTCTCCAAAGCTTCTAAAATACCAACCCGAGAGCTTTGGAGTTTTCATCGCGTTTATCAATGCAGCTTTGATATTTAGTTACTTGATAGTAATATTCTCAACTCTCTTTTATTTTCGATTATTTAACTATGACAAGTGGTTTAAGAGTATATCAATGTTTATTTATTTACCTTTTGTTATCAAATGTATTCTGGAACAATCATTTTTTAAGTTGCAACATAGTTTCAAATTAATTCATTTTTAGGCGTTCTGTTTTATCTTGTCGTTCATTTCACTACACTTCCACAGCAAAATATATGTGCTAATAAACCATTCAACGGTTCTGACGCTTTAAAAACGTAGAAGTCTTTCTTTTCTTTTCGAATTACTGTATGTATTTATCTTTTTGTAAGTTATTGGTAAATAATAAATTTATTTTTAAGACACAATCACTGGTTTGATTCTAGTTAATAGCCAAAAATAAGAATCGTTTCCGACAACATGCAAGGTGGTTCTAAAATAAGTGATAAAGTTCAAAGTAAAAAAATTCAAAATATGTGTGATGAGTTATGACGTATTCTTTATATCTTATCGGCAAATACAGGGTGTCCTATAAGCACATGGTCAGAAGAGTACTGCGATATTCTTTGACGGAAAAGAAGACGATCTGACCTAACTTTTATTAAGAAAAATGTCTGACTCCTCTGCTATCACTCATTCACCCTGCGTGTAAATAAATGTATGCAATTTTAATTTTTTTCAAATATGCCACACGCTTCTCATCCTCATAAGTACTCAGCTTCCTAAATTGCTGCCCATGAAGTTGAATATTAAATGTTTACTGATAACATCAGTCAGTTAAAGATTAGAATACCAAATATACATAAGCACTATGCAAATAAGGCATATCACAGGCACCTTTGATAAATTTGTGTAAAACCCCGAACGATATTCGTTTTGTATTCTACTTACTCCGTCCAATGTTATAATGATAGGATGAATTAATACACATTGTTTTTTAATATTAATAAACAAAAGTAGAAAATATTTATTTTTGAATAGTGGATTTGAGCTTACACGCTAAAACGACCCCACATACACCCAAGCAAAAGCCGACTTTCCTCCATGGAAATTTACTCCTGATAGATTTTTTAGTAATTAGATCTGCCGGTGTTGCTCTAGAATCCCACTAAACAGAACATACACATCTCAAAAGCAGCAACTAAACAAATATTATTAATTTTAATGCTTAAAGTTTTGTAAAAGTTTGCAAACTGTCTACTAAACCTAAACTTACCTTCTTGGATACTTTTTTGAGTTTACCGGTCACACCTTTCATGTTATGAATTTGCTTCTTAATCTCGCAAACATGCCTGGTGAGTAGCGCACGGTCTTCGTTCGATAATTCAGTTCCTTGTAAATGCCCTAGTAAATATTTAATACTGGCTTCCATAGCTATGACTTGCTTTACTGCAGACAACAGTTCGATGGCCACGTCTATGTTGCTAATACGGAAAGTTACTTCAGTAGAAATTTAAAATAAAATTAAAATCGCATCTTACCTAAATGAGCCATTTTTTATACAAATGTGCAGCGACTTGGGATTGTAGGGTTGCTTGTGAAATCGACTCAAACCAGTTAAAATTCTGTTACGTTGATATGGCAAAAGAACACCGATGTGCTTTAAATCTTTGTCGGACATCGATAAAAACTCGCATATATGTACTTTCTTTTCAAAAAACAATGGTATTAGATCCTCGCACTTTACAGCTAAAAGAAAGTTGCAAATATCCTCAAAAAACGCTGGCCTAGAAACAATAACATCGATCCAATTACAGGAGTTGGAGAAACAGCACTTTGAACCAAACCCACTTTTTGCCTATTTCTAGTGCCTCAAAGGTCTCCTTGAATGTCTTGCGGCAATCTGATTCAATTGTTTCAGCTAAATCAATATCCCGTTTTGGAAACAAGTCAATAATTGCGTCAAGACCATTATCCCTTGCAATATCAACAGGGCTGTTTCCACGAACATCCGTTAAAGTAATATCAAAGCCGTCCTCATATAAGAACTTAACAACCTCAAACTGGTTGTTGCTCACAGCCCAAGTTAACGCCTAAAAATCGCAATAACATATGTATGATTATATGACAAAATGTTTCTTTAGATCAAAAAGATTTAAGTAATGTGTAGGCATCATCTTCATATTGTTCAAATAGACATCATCGTTTGGGTGCAGAATTTTTAAATAATGACTATTTCCATTATATTATGTAAATTACTATTGCCTTTTAAACAAACATAACATAAAGAATTGATGTTTACTAAAGCAATTTGAGAATATTTAATAGTTTGAGTATATGGAGGTGCTTATTGTTAAAACGAATACAAATGGAACCACATAAGTAACGAAAACTTACACTCCATTGTTGATTATCTACAGCTTGCTTATTGGATTTTGGCAAGAGATATTCTACCGCAGGCAAATGTCCTTAAAAACGCCAATTTTTATCATGAAATTTGGTTTCACATTAACTCTTACCGTTGCAAGCAGCGTACATTAAAGCATCCATTCTCTTTCTGTTGATGGCTTGAACCGATGCCCCATTTTCAACTAATAATTTGATAACTTCCAAAGACTTTTCAAAAGGCGCTGTATAGTCAGGACAGTTACATGCCATCATTAATGGAGATACAGCGTCTGAGGATTAAGACGCATTTCTATAAAGTGAATGCTTACTAGATGACAAAATATGGTCAAGACAAGATATTCATCTAATCAAGACATAAATTATTTCAAAATTCATTCAATAAAAAACCATAAAGCAAAAAAACATCAGCAACCAGGATATGAATTAAAATTAGGTTGAAACCATGCAAAGCTCAAATACTGTAAATAAGTTAAATTTAAAAATGTTTTTCTTAACTTAGACAGAAGCAATAAAACATTCAAAGCAATCAGGTAGATGAATACAGAATAATAGTCGTTTAGTAAGAGAATCAATAGAAAGGGATTGAAATTGCTATAGAACTATTTTAACGAAGATGAGCGAGATCAGATTAAAAGACAAAAAGTTGTCAAAATTAAAAATGAATATCAAAGTAAATGTTTGCGTTCTTATAATTGAGTAGTTACAACCCTCCGATGTGTAACAAATCAGTGCTTTTTCATGATCCTTCATATACCAATTTTTCGTTAGAGATTCAGTTTATCTAGTGATATCTGGTCTTGGTCCAGTATCTACGTAAGGTTCTGGTAAACTGCGTTTAATCATGTTCTATATTTTAAAATTTTAATCCATGTCTCCGTAAGGGCCCTGTATAAAAAAGTTCAAAATATGTTATTTTTTGTAGAATATTTGACTCCGAAAGATTACCCACATCCTCTTGAGCACACCATGTACGTATGCATTCTATTTTAATGACATGAATAAGATTAAATCATGAATTATTCAAATCCTGAATGTAATTAATCGGCTTCGGCTATTTAGGAGACAAATAATGAATAACCTACCTACTAAATATAAAGAATTGCCAGTTTTCTTTGGGGCGAAACAATTGAAGATAGATGAATACATGAATTTTATCAAATGTAGGTACACAAAAAGTCGGAAATTCTGACCTTAATAAATATTACAAATATAGCCGTTTCCGATGACGATAATTTTGCTAGATTCAATTTTATATCTTCAAATTTGGCACCTTTTTGATCGAGGGACGGTTCACGAACGTACGTAGGTATGAACGAAATTATTATTATTAATATTATTATTATTAATTACTTTTTTAAAACAGCCTTAATGCGATTGTTTGTTAAATTTCGATAAAATCCTTTGATAATGAGAATATTTAATGTTTTATTTAGCCATACTTTCGGCTGTTTTTGTCAGGTACTAAACTAGTATTTGTTTGCAAGTATCATAATCTTTACTATTTGAAACTCTGGATGGACATACTTATTGTTGGTTTTCAATGAATTTTAGTGCTTCAAGAAAGTTTAGGAGAATTTGTAATAGAACCTTCCGAAGCGTTTTTTCCGCATGTACTTCACTGAATGTGAGACCGTATACAGGGTCCGCCTTTAGTAATTTTCAATAAACTACCAATTTTTATATCTGACCCAGATATCACACAAATATTACAGTAATATTTTTTTGCAATATTTAATATAGGTTGAAGCGACAGATTCTTGAATATTATAACAATATTTATTATAAATATTTCTTTGACATTTAAATCAGATATTTACGAAATATTTTTTTTGCAATATTTAATATAGGTTGACGCGACAGATTCTTATATATTATAAAAATATTTCTTGTAA